TTACCACTGAACAGACAGTGTTCCAACTCGATTGCTCTTGACCAATATCGTTAATATATCATACCTTTCACTTCGAGTTTTTTTCTCGAAAACCACGATCAAATTTCAATATGCCAGATAATCATTTTTTGAGCCACGTATGTGGTCTGCTATATAGGGCTGACTTATAGAGCCCGATACACGTGTTTCGACATTGACAGCCTCATCAGTCGGGCGGTACCCTTTCGCCTTTAGCCAATCCTCTCGAGCAGCCATATATGTCAGCCCCATATAGCAGTTTACATACATGGCTCAAAAAATGATTATGTGGCATATAAAATTTGAGCGTGGTCTTTAAATAACACTCGAAACAAAGGTATGATAACATTCGTTTCGAGTGTTTTCTTAAGACCACAGCTCAAAATTCAATATGCCTTGCAATCATTTATGAGCTACGCATGTCAGTGGTCCGTCAATGAGGGCTGACTGATGGAGCCCAATACACGTGTTTCGATCTTGCGATCTCGAAAATGATTGCAAGGCATATTGAATTTTGAGCTGTGGTCTAAAGAAAACACTTGATACGAATGTTGTGATATATTGAATATATCAGACACGAGCAATCGAGTGTACAACACTCTGTGTTTGGTGAGTTTTTCACTGGACATAGAGTGTAAAGCGTTCGTCGTCGCTAACTCTTAGTGTGGGGACTGGAGCACCCACAGAGATTAGCAAAAGACGAGAAAGGGTAACTGTCCGTCTGACGAGATCGCAAGTCGAAACACGTGTATTGGGCTCTATAAGTCAGCCCTCATTGACCGACCACTGACATGCGTGGCTCAAAAATGATTGCAAGGCATATTGAAAGGTATGATATATTAACGATACCAGCCATGAGCAACGAGTGTAGAACACTGTCTGTCCCGCCGTCAATTCCGCTTCCCTTACAGTGCAAAATGTTCGTCGTCGCCTAGCGTCCCGAGAGGATTGGTTAAAAGCGAAAGGGTACTGCCCGACTGATGAGAGTGTCAAGGTCGAAACACGTGTATCGAGCTCTATAAGTCAGCCCTGTATGACAGATCACATGCGTGGCTCAAAAAATGATTATTTGACATACAGTAGGAATTGGCTTGCCACTGATCTAACTAATCTTTGCCTATAAGTGGAAGAGAGGTGAATCTTCACAAGAACCTGTTTTCTGTGTACTTGAATTTCAAGTAGTGACTATTTTCCTTTAGAGTTGTGGAACTGTTTGCCTAAAGAGGTTGAAATTCATTTCAACTAAGCTTTTGATAAAAGCGAAATTCGAGTAAGCGTAAGATGATGAAGAACAAAATACCAAATAGTTTCTGTAGATTTGGAGAAAAAACATGATCTTGATGACAGTCTTTCGAATTTTTTAGAGCGTCATGATGCTCTAATGGTGGTGCATCAAACCATAACAAGGATCGTAGATGTGACTGAACATATTTTATATTTACGACAATGTCCTCAAGTGTTCGTAAGGCGTTCTCGTCAAAGATTTTTGCAATAGTGGTGCTAGATAAAATAGTGAATAAATATGAAGTTTAGGAAATTTTCTCTTCCATGATATAAACCTTCACTGAGAAATAAAGTCGTACATGCATTATGTCATTACTGAAGTGTTATGTTTTCAGTGTTTTTGTCACATCGTCACAGCTTTTGCCATTATTGTATCACCACAGTTTTTGCCCATATTGAGATCCAAATGCAGTAACAAGACAAGGTGAGCTACTATTGTAAAGTGTTGTTGTTGTCAATTTGATCATCTGAACAGAATTTTCAATACCGCTCTCAGGGATCGTCATGTTTCTGGTTTCGTCAAGTAGGCGTCAGTCTTGTCTGAGACGATAGCAGCACTGATTTTAAAAATCGCTAACTCCACAAGTCACTCACTGTATGGGCCAGACGTGCCTTCACCCCCCCCCCCCCCCCCCCCCAGCGAAGCTTAACAAAGCCCTATGAATGGTGGACTCTTCGAGGATTAAATGTCGGACATTCTATTGTGCTTTTCATGACCATAACCAACAATTAGAAAAAAGTAAAATTGTAAGATCACTTTCATTTCCTGCACCACTTGGCAAAGTGCCACGATTTTCTATTACAGTGACGGACTATGTATTGGCGTAAAAGGTGACGATTCACTACGGATCGTAAGGTCATCATTATCTTTGTCTCAAAACCGGAGCAACACGTGGATATGTAATGAATCACGTGAAGACGCTAGCCGCTGAGAATGATTGGTGACCGGGTGAGTGATTAGTGAATTCCTTGGATCAAGAGAGTTTTGTCGTCGCAAACATCTATTGCTCATGAAAGCACTTATTCCTTACTAAACATTTACTATACCAACAACTATTCTTAGGAAAAAAAGGCATTGTGTCGATTTCTGGTCGATTCTTTGGATGTATCAGCACAAAAGGCAATCCAAAACTGTACCGAGGTTCATAATATAGGTGTGGAGATCTACTAGTTCTTTTTGCAAAGCATTTCTCTCACTATAGCGCTATAAATGATATAAAATTCCAACTGCACCAGCGATCGAATTTCCTACTATTTCAACTTTTCTATTCAATATTTAGACAACAACTTTGAATAATTTCAAGTTTTCGATAAAACAAAGTTGGTTTTTTTTTATCAAGAAAACGATTGGGAAATCAATCCAGTGCATTTCGATAAGTTACACTAAAATCGCGATCCACAGCAATTATCCAAGCAAGCATTCCAATCCAAGCATTAACAGCTCTCCTGTAAGCAGTACAAATGTGATACTTTTTTCAAAGCAGAACAGTTCCTTAGCTAGATCCATCTCAGCAATGAACAAGTTCCGCGTGACCATGATGAGGTAGCGACCATTCTTTCGTCCACATCTATATATAGTTTCAGCACAATGTTTACACGTTACACGCACTGTAAGCCTACAGATAAAAAGTCCTTTCAATATGTTGTCTCATAAAACTGTGATAGCAATGCCATGGAACTTCTATATGACAACCACAGAACTATTCCTAGTCCATTACTGCAAATCCCTTGCAGACCACTGAGCCAAGCAATTTGTTAACCTCAGCAGAAAAGAAAATCTGATATGCAGATGTCTGTTCGCAAGTTGACCAGCTCCTTCCACACATCCATCGTTTTGATTCTTTATGGATCGATCAGTTGTTATTAAGACCACTCATATAAAATTTTACATAAAGGAATGCACTAAACGAAAGAAAAAAAAAAGAAGTGTAGTAAGTATAGCCATAAAATGGTGTTTAAAAGTGGCAAGCCGAGAGAAATTGGAAGCAATGATTACAACACTCTCGAAAATTCTTAGTCGCCAACTAGTTCTTAACCGCGTGTACAGAAGATTGTAGAATATGCCGAAATGGTAGGACAGTGTATATTTAGGTTAGGAATCAGTTTAGCGAATTTTTTGCAAAGCCTGCGAGGACGAGTACATCGGAAAAACGAGAAGATCACTTTGAGTCCGTCTAGAAGAACACCTAACCTCTAAATTTAAAATCAAATCGAATGCTTCACTAGATGTGCACAGAACACAGGCATATGAAGGGGAAGATTTTGAAGTGCGTGTCACTATGGCCGCACATAAACACAAACCCTCACCTCCAAAACCCTCAGAGCGTTTAGGCAAATGTCAAAAATCTAGAACGAACATTGCGCGTTTCTCAGATTGCTTTTTTGATCTGAGAGAATCACATTTTTTTTGGTCTTGTAAGACTCCTTATGAGTGGTCTCCTAACAGCCAAAAGAGCCGTAAAGAGTAAAAAAATGAATGTTTAGAACAGCGTGGCTTTTATACGAACGAAAAATTGTATATCAGATTTTTCTGCTGAGCTTATGAAAGTTGACCGAGTGGATTGCATGTCAATTTGACATTTCTAGGCTTTGAAGGAGGCAAAACCTGTTGATAACCTCGCACCTGTTCATTAGAATAATTACTGAATTATCTGATCAAAGCCGGGCTTAATAGGTAGTCGGTCCTGGGAAAGATCCTTAATGAGCCCTAACAAACATTAGAGCTTATCTAAAAAGTCATGAATACTTTCTACGTAACCAAAAGTTCTCAACAATCGGAGAAATACCTTTTCAGTTAGATGCTCAAAGATTTTCACTGCCACATTCATGTATCACTTATACCTCCTATCAACGCATTGGTCGTCGAGTAGCTCAAGAGGACACTAGTAAACCTTCCACTTTCCCTTATCGCTTCTCACAGTAGCCCATTGGAATCTCCCACTGTAGGAGTTAGTAATATCATATTCCTCTTCACGGTATTTCAAGAGGAAATTAAAACCATCACGTTGGTAGTGTTCCCTTTGTGCGTTTAACATCCCGGAAAAACTAGTGAGAAGCGGCTAATTTTCATCGGTTGCTGTTAAAACGCATTGCATGCAGGGCAGCTGATCTTCGATAACTTCATGTGTAGTATGGCACCTTCGATTTTCAAACGTTGACATTTGTTGGGATTTTGGACCTCTCCTATCTTCTTCGAGATACGGGATACGCCTAGCATCGGCTTTTCGACTGCGCGTTCAATAGCACTAAGCGATCTTTCGTCATGCTGATGCAACGACTAAGTTTCTAATGCACTGGGTTAACGAAGACTTAATCGTTAGAGTAAAACATAGGCATGGAGTCGAATGCTCTTTGTTTCGCTCACTTATTCATCTGTTTTGGAGGTAATCGTTCATCATGTAGGCTAAAGACGTCAACCTAGATGGACGTGATTGGGATATCCGGAGATATAAATTCTGCTTAAGATGAATGGAGCATTTAATAGAATCCGTTTCTCATGTACGTTGTATCTGCGAAATTTAGTCTTCGATCAATCTTTCCAAGGAGTTTTCGAAAATGAGCGAAGCTTGGAGCTATAAGAACGACAAAATTTACAAAGCAAATATACGAAATTTCTAGTATTTTACTGCATTTTCCGCAGTGTTATGTCATTATGATATTCCTAAGAGGATTGAGTGGTGAGAAAAACACAAAAATGTGCCTCGGTGGTGCAGTGGTAGAGCACGAGTTTCCGGATAGGATGAAACGCGGGTTCGATTCCCGACTGAGGCCGTGTTTTTACTCATCACTCAATTCTCTTAGGAAAGCGAAAATAGATAATCGTCGACCATCGATTTTCACTCTCACCTTGACCCATTCTAATGTTCGCATGGCATTCTGGAGAGTGACAGCAGATAGTTCTTCCGAAATGATCTCGCCCTTTCGCAATTTTCTGTTACGTCAAAGCTGATTTTTTCTATGGAATCATGATAATTTAATTTTAAAATTCCTCTTTAGTCAGAAAGAATCCCTATTTAATGAATAAAGTCTTCCAGGTTGTGTGGACCTTCTATGATTGCTTTTGTTGCAACTGAATCAAAAGCCTTACAAAGTCAATGATGTAATACGGGAAAGTCTCTTGTGCTTTCAAGAAGCATCAATAAGTCTTGAAATAGCGTAGATATGACTACACCACTGAATTGGAATTCATTATACAAAGCACCTAAGTAAGCAGTTTGAAATTCTTTTTTGAAACTTCTTGTATTCTAGCTGTCATTCGCTTAGAAAAACACATTTAGAATTACTCGAGTGAAGAATTTATAGCCGACATGAAACAAGCAGATTGCGCAATAGCGCCGTTCTTATAGAAGTCTCGTTTTCTGAATATTATGAGGAGTAATAAGGCTCTTTAGGTATATTTTTCACTGTCTGAATTAACTGCTGTTCATTTCATCACCAACGATGTCGGACTTCGGAAAGGGGAGAGGAGATAAACTTTCTATGAAACCGGGAGGATGTAATTCTTCGAAAAAAAGAGTGGCAAGCGTAGATGATTATTTTCGCTATTTTCCGTGAAGTGTTCCTGTATCCCTTGGCGTTGGAGCACAATCATCTATTCTTCGTAAATGATAAATGCCGGTGAGCTTTGTAAATGCCCATCTGCAGCTTCGGCTATAGTTGCTGCTCTGATTTTCTCTTAGATCTTCGCTTTCATCACCGTTTTGCAAGTTTGGACTTGGGATAGCGGTTTCTTGCGGCTTGTGCGATTTCTAGTTAGTACGTCAACAAGAATGTATCTGGAAACAAACGTCGCTTCGAACCTTCGATTTCTGTTCTTATGATACTGTGGTGAATATATTGAATCAGGAATCCGTATTCTTTGTGGGTCTTAATAATGACGGTATACTCTTGAGAGCCAGCTACTGATTTGAATGATTTCGAATTCATCTAAGTTTCAGTAATTCTTATTTTTTTCTTCCTTCTTAAGCAAGGCACGAGGTGTTAAATCCAAACTTTATCCACTGGTGTGCAAAAACGTTTGCATCAGCCGGGATTCGAACCTAGATCTTACTCTTTCCGGGAGCATGTGCTAAATCTGCACACCACTGTACATCATTTGGTTTGATGAAGCATCATAATACCGTAATAAGCGGTCTAATAAAATGATTTCCAACTGGTTATCGAAACTTAGTATCTGTCAACAAAAGTGGGTTCAATGTCGATAATGACTGCCCGCCACACTGTAGACGGTTGGTTGTTGACAGATAACGCGTTGTAGCGACTCACCGCTTCTATTATAGGTCTTCTACTGAACGAACAAGTGAAGAACAACAGAACGGTAATCGCATAGGCCAATAATGCACTATACCCATCAAAACAACAGTCTCATATACTGGCTATCACCGGTGATTACGAACATTCCTCCCTGCGGTTCATAGCTGGATTGGTCGTGTTTATCCAGAACGCCTCAAGTATCTTTCGCGCTGATGTTCTTTGTTCCTGGCCAAGGATGGTGACCTCCATATCAAATCCTCCGACATGCTTTTCGGCTCTATGTATACCTAGCGGAGTGTTTTTCTTAGTATGGCGCAACACCTAGCTGACATGCGCCATACTAGAAAAAACACTTGCAGGTATACATAGAGCTCAAAAGCATGCCGGCGGATTTGATATGGAGGTCACCATTCTTGGCCAGGAACAAAGAACATCAGCGCGAAAGATACTTGAGGAGTTCTGGATAAACACGACCAATCCAGCTATGAACCGCAGGGAGGAATGTTCGTAATCACCGGTGATATGAGCCAGTAAATAAGACTGTTGTTTTGATGGGTATAGTGCATTATTGGCTTATGCGATTACCGTTCTGTTGTTCTTCACCTGTTCATTCAGTAGAAGACCTATAATAGAAGCGGTGAGTATGTTTAAGGCAGACTTTGTGCTTGATGTGAAAAAAAAATCTAGGCTGACCAATTTTCTTCAAAGAAGTGATGGAAGTGTGTAACTGACTGAAATGTGGACAACTTTGACCTTTCCAGGCTCTGACGAAGGCGACCTGCCGAAATGTTATCTGTTTGATTGTGTGAATAAAGCTTGGATTTAACACCTCATGCCTCGGTCAAGAAGAAAAAAAAATAAAAATTATTGAAACATATCGAGGTTGATAGACAGTCGGTCTTGAAATTTATCTAAGTTTTTCAGTTTCGTTTTTGAAAATAGCGGCTTTCAATCCTTTTTGAGAGAATTTCAACCTTTTGTGAAGAGGTTGATCCTCTGATTCCGTTGCAATTTTGAAACATCAGCGACATTGGTTTGTTAAAGCCATCGACGCACTATCAAGAGCTCTTAATCAGTGCTCACTATTGAGAGTGTGGCTTGTGCAGTCATAGGATGCCAGGAATGTTCTTGATCGTTGTAATAAACTCAGTCAACCTTTCATTCTACTCGTTCCATTCAAATCCGGAACCCCAGTACAACGTTCTTTGCGAGTTCTGTTGGAACCGATCGTCGCTTTGAATTTCGAAAAAAAAAACTTCAAAGAATTTATGATCTTCTTCAGGAAGCTTTCTTAATCTGTTACATCTTCTTCGTTAGCTGAGCAATTTCACGAAGTTGTTTTGAAAAAATCGATTTCATGCGGCAAACATTTCCACACGTCTCGTCATCTTCGGAGCCATTTGGTTCAAGAGAATGCTTCAAAGTCGTTCATCCTCGTTGTGATCTTCATTAGCATTCGAATCAGATCTTCTTAGGAGAAGGACCGTTCATAAAGGAACCTCACCTGACAGTGCTCCTTTCATACAGGATGGCTCTCAAGAAGATGAAAAGCGCCGAAATGTTTGCTGCATAAATTCGTTCTTCAACGGCTCCGTTAGATTGACTTAATCAACAAATAAAATATGACCGATTGATAACTCCAAATCCAAAGAAAAACTGCTGTCGGTTCGTCAGCTTTTCTAAGTCTACTTCTGGAAGTTTCGATAACGCCTTGTCAAAGCTTAGTGTCAGTGAGTGGAGATAAATGGTGAAAAATGGTACTACTCTGCATTGTTTCAACCGTACGCGCTCGATCAGAGCCGGTAACTGTTCAAATATGTGCATGATCAAAAAGTGTTTTGAGAGGAACGCCAGCACCACCGATTCTTCTAATGTCGTGTGTTTCGCGAAACAGTTTTTCTTCGGTGTCATAGCTAGCATAAAATGGAATGTTTCTCTTCGTCTCAACCAGGTCGATGGTGTGTTATATCCCAATTCCCTTGCCTGCACCACCAGGTTCTCTATAAACGTTTCATAAGGAAATATAAATGCATTGTAAGTGTAGATCGTCACCGCAGTCTGTTACTATTTTTACAGTCTAGCACGGCTCTGGAATGTTGGCAGCGTGGTCTCACTTGTCCTTCCCAGCTCTACCATATCCAGGACTCTAATCGCCTTCTAGCGCACTTTGCACTCACTCAACTTCACGCTTTTGGTTAATTCGACTTGTAAAAAGAAGTACATGTTAAGTTGAAGCAACAAAAGTATAAAATACACTCCTTGAATTCAATTGCGTTTCAAGAAAATACGTGGCCGCGCTTGGTCCGCAGTCATTTCTGCTATCCTCCATCAGCGAGCACTCGATGCGCTTCCCTAACTGCACAGAGATCCTTCTGTGAATTAATGGGGCAGAGATACCTCAATGAGAGAGGTCCGTGGCTTCAGTCATAACACAGTATTTTTTCAAATCCTCCTTGAATTGTAGGTATCCATATCATCGACTGTTTTCAAACTTTGCTATAAACATTCAATGTAGTCTGTGAGAATTTCTGAAGACTTTTCAGAGTTGACACTTCAGTGGTTCTCTTAGCTACCATAGTTCATAAATTGCAGAACGTTCAATGACTGTGAAAAAAAATTATTGAATATGCCTTTGAGTTGAAATCCATAGATAATAATGCACGTTTCCGCTAGGAATAAGAAATATATAATTGCTGACAGCTTCCTCACATTTTACTCTTTTCTGGTACTATATGCAGACCCAAATGATGTTGAGTGATAAGGAAGGCATTCGCTCTTAAGGGAAGTTGAACCTGCGTTTCATCCATGTCGGATGCTACCATTACACCACGAAAACCATCGCTGTGTTACCGCTCCTTCTTCCATGAAATTTATCGCAGATGTCAACCACCAACAGAGTTTGGTCTGGTATAGACATAATGTGACATATACCAAAGCGCAGTAAGCTACAGATTTTTTGCTACATATGCATACACATGCATACGCAGATAAATCACTTACCCGAGTCATTGTAAACTAAACTGAGCACAGCAGCGATTGAAAGATGACCATACGAACATAACTTCTGAATTGGGATTCAGTATTATAGATCACATCCTTATGATATGATGAATCGTTGAAGTTCCTTGAGAGTACGAGAGAGCGTCCCTTCTCACTTTCATCAAATTTAAAAAGGCCTATGATTTAGCTAAAGCAGAAGTATTCATAGAAGCGTAAAACTAAACTATTACCACTTCAAACAATGCTATTTTCGACGTGAGGAAGAGAACTGTCATGACATTATCTTTGCGCTGAATCTAATGCGTTGTCCTATGCTTTATTTCGCACTACTTTTTTATTCGGTTTTTTTTTCTCTTTCAGATCGGGTTGCTGCCAAAAGACTATGGTATGTTGTAGAATAAATCGATAACACTTGAAAATGGCTTTGGTACCATTGCTTGCCATGTTATTGAAATGGGCTCGATGAACATGTGCATCGACTGACCACGACTGCGCTGTGTATTGTTTCTGGCTTTCTA